ACGTCATAGTCTTACACAAAGTATATTTAAATTGAAGCATTACTTTTAGATGTTGACTATACAGTAGATTTTTTAAAAGTTTTAATGTTTAGCTCTGGCGACAATTTTGGTCGGCAGACCGAAACCATTTGAGCAAATTTTATAGAAGTCCATCCAACGACCATTTATGAATATTGCATCAAAATCGAGCCAATGGTTTCAAAGCAGGAGATGTAGATAAATATTTTTAGCTGTTGCAGCTATTTTATTCAGCTAACCAGAACAATATAATTAAGCAACTGTAGTATGCTGCTGTCAGTTATGATAAGCCCCGCCTCCTATGTATAATGCACTGCCTCTCTGATACTTGTAGTTAGTTCTTATAATACACTTGTACAGTAAACATTAAAAGCTAGAAACTATCCTTCGGGTCTGTGTTATCAAACAATCCCTTTAAGGGTCTGGTTCTATTTAGAACATTTAGAACATTACATTGGCGACGAGGATTAAGGATTTTAAACGTGTTAGTGAAATAACATATTCATAGTCAGTGTCAGGATTAATGTAAAAGCATAATTCGCAAATAATATGTGATTTGGACTTTTAAAAAATGGCAGGACTTCCGCAGTTCCCGCATTTTGACGTGCATATGGAAGAAAATTCACAAGGTGTAAGATGGACTAGATACCTGGCAAAACTTGAAAATTTATTTATTGCAATGAACATTGATTCAAGAAAAAGGAAAAAGCACTGTTATTACACTATGTGGGCTTGAGTACAGATGACTCTAATTATGATGAAGTGAACACAAGTCTTACAGATTATTTTATGCCGAAAAGAAACAGAGAATTCGAGAGATATGAATTTCGGAACATTAAACAACAGACAAACGAATCTGTAGATCAGTTCTCCACAAGACTCCGCCAAAAAGCAGAAACTTGTGAATTTTCCAACAAAGAGGATGAAATCAAAAGCCAAATAATTCAAGGTTGTACTTCAAGAAAACTTAGAACAAAATGTCTACAAGATGACAAGTCACTTTCAGACATTCTGGTACTAGCTCGAACCATGGAAATTGCCGATCGCCAGCCAAAAATCATGGCACAATCACCAGAAATACCGGTTAACAATGTCCGCCATGCACAACACAAACCTAATACCATGTTCAACAAAAAGTTAAGCCACAAAAGCCAACCTGACCTCCAGAGAACGAAAAAAGAGTGCAGAAATTGTGGTGGCGACTTTCCCTACCAGAGCCAATGCCCAGCATTCGGAAAAACATGTAATTACTGTCACAAACGAAACCATTTTGTTAAAGTGTGCCGAAAAAAGTCAAACGCATATCAACGCCAAATTAGAGAAATACAGCAAAACGTCGACAGCGACCACGACCACGAACAAGAGTGTAAATTTGGTATAAATAAGATAACCACTAAAAAGGTGCCAAAAATTAATATTAGAATCAACGGCGTAGAAACATCTGTACTGGTCGATACTGGTTCAAGTCTTAACATCATAGACAGCAAGCTTATTCGACAAATGAGGCCAGTACCTGAAATGAAGAAAACAAACACAAAGGCTTACGCTTTCGGACAGAAGAAACCACTACCAATCACAGAAAAATATACATGCATAATAGAAACAGATTTAAAGTACACAACTGCTGAATTTTATTCAATTAAAGGAGCATCAGACAACCTGTTATGCTATGAAACCGCCGTAGATCTCGGAATTGTGCCTGTGATCAAATCAGTATCAAGTGATGTGGAATATAATAAACTGTTTGATAAATATAAGTCAGTGTTCACAGGACTCGGAAAATTAAAAGATAAGCAAATAAAATTCCATATTGATGAAAAGATCGTGCCGTCTGCAGAACATGTCAGGAGAATCCCGTTTCACGTGCGTGAAAAAGTTGAAAAGGAAATCAAACGTCTCGAAAATCTAGATGTAATTGAAAAAGTGAACGGAGCAACACCATGGGTTTCGAACTTGGTAGTCGCACCAAAGCCGAACGCGCCGAATGAGATACGCTTGTGTGTAGACATGCGAAAAGCCAATCAAGCGTTAAAGCGGGAGAGACATGTTGTTCCTACAATTGATGACATTATTCTCGAACTTAACGGCTCAACGGTATTCTCAAAGGTGGATTTTAATAAAGGCTTTCACCAACTCGAACTTTCTGAGGAATCAAGAAATGTTACGGTATTCACGTCCCATATTGGACTCTGGAGATACAAACGGTTAAACTTTGGAGTAAGTGTCGCGCCTGAAATATTTCAGAACGAAATCAGACAAGTTTTATCAAACTTAGAGGGTACTCTCAACGTTTCAGACGACATAATTATCCATGGACCTAACAAAGAAATTCACGATGCCAGGCTCAATGCCCTGCTCAGTAGGTTACAAGAAAGAAACCTAACACTCAATAAGCAAAAGTGCGAGTTCGGAAAAGCATCAGTCAAATTCTACGGATATATCTTCTCAAAAGATGGCATTTCTCCGGATCCAGCAAAAGTCACTGTTATCAAAAATGTAGAAATGCCGAAGAATGCAGGAGAGTTAAGAATGACAAATTATCTGTCGAAATTCATTGAACGCTATTCATCTATCACCGCGCCTCTCCGTCAGTTGCTGAAAGAAAAAGTCGATTTCAAATGGACTGAACAACAACAACAAGCATTCAATCAACTTAAAATGGCACTCAGCAGTGAAAAGGTGATGACATTTTTTGATCCGAGCAAGCAAACAGAATTATGGGTTGATGCAAGTCCAGAGGGTGTTTCCGGAATATTGATCCAGGAAAATAAGGTGATCGCTTATGGCAGTCGGTCGCTTACTGAAGTTGAAAAACGATATAGTCAGACGGAAAGAGAAGCCCTTGCTTGCGTTTGGGGATGCCAACATTTTCATCTCTACCTATTCGGAAAAGAGTTCACATTAATCACAGACCATCGCCCATTAGAGTCGATTTTCAATAATGTGAAACAAATACACTCAGCGCGAATTGAACGATGGCGCATGAAATTAGTCACATACAATTTCAAGGCAAAATACCGTCCAGGTAGTTTGATGATATCAGATTACATTAGCAGGCACCCAACTATTAATTGCCCTTCGCAGAGTGTGGCAGAAGATTATGTGAAATTTATTACCCAGCACGCGTTGCCGAAATCACTCCGCCTATCAGATATGGCTAATGCTACGCAGGATGATTGCATAATTAAATGTGTGATGGACGCTGTTTCAACAAACAGGTGGAAACAACAAAAATGTAGTAAAATGAAGGAATTCCAATGCTATGAACAACTATCAAATGAACTATCTATAGTGCATAATGAAAAAGGAACTGTATTGTTACGAGGTACAAGGATATGCGTTCCGCAAAATCTGCAAAGATGCGTTGTTGATTTAGCTCATGAAGGTCACCAAGGAAAAGTAAAATGTAAGGCGTTCCTGCGTGAAACACTCTGGTTTCCCTACATGGATAGACTTGTAGATGATGTAGTTCAGAATTGTATACCGTGTCAGGCTGCTTCTACTAAAACAACTCTTGATCCAGTAAAGATCAGTCCGTTACCAAATGCCGTTTGGAGTGAAATTTCAGTAGATTTCTAAAGTCCATTCCCATCCGGTCATTATTTCATGGTTATAGTTGATGACTACAGCCGCTATCCCGTTGTTGAAAGACTAATGTCTCTGAAAGCCGGACCGGTCATAGCAAAACTACAAGCCATATTTTCCATGTTCGGCATGGTCTCTGTTGTTTGTGCAGACAACGGCCCGCCCTTTAATAGCTACGCTTTCAAACAATTTGCAGAGAAAGCAGGATTTATTCATCGAAAAATTACACCACTACATCCAATGGGCAATGCTATAGTAGAAAGATTTATGCAACCGCTACAAAAAGCAGTAAAAACAGCCGTTGCCTCAGGCAAGAACTACCAATCGGAACTAAATAAATTTCTGCTGAACTATAGAAACACACCACATACAGCAACTGAGTTAGCCCCGGCTGAAATAATGTTCGGAAGAAAACTTCTCACAAAGCTACCGAAGTTCACAGTCAATAAGAAAGACGCTTCCGTTCGAAATAGAGACGAAAACATAAAAACTATGCCGATAACCACCGCCATGCAAAATCTACTCCAATGAAAGCAGGAGATCGCGTTTTAGTTAAAAAGACGCATCCTCACAAATTAGATTCTGCGTTCGATCCTTTACCGGCAACAGTGATAAAGAGAAAAGGTTCTATGGTAACTGTGAAACATAAAGAGCGATTAATCACCCGTGATATATCACATTTCAAACTAGTTTTAGGCAATCATTCAAACGAATTAACACGTCAGCCGACGGTACCGACCAATGTACAACCGACGAACACCCGCCAGCACCATCCAGTTAGAAACCGTAGACCACCAGCTAAATTCAAAGACTATACTTAAATGGATTTATTCAGTGATTATATGCTTAAGTTTATACAGGTCATAATAATACCTGTTTAACTTAAAATAACAACAACAAAACGGAAGATAAACTTATTTGTTCAAGTGAAAGTTTAAATTTAGATGAGTATTGTTTTCTTCTAAATAAAAATGTTTTGTATATTTGAAAAAAAGAACAACCGAGAATCAGTGTGAGCGTTGTGTGGAATTAGATTTACAAAGAGTGTGTTTTTAAGAATCTGGAAACAAAGTTTAAAAAGTTCAACTTGAGGTTAAAGTAACGTGTTAACAAGTGGGCAGAGTGAAATAAACGAACTGGACGCCGCTTACAACAGATCATAGACGTAATAAAATACATTAGTTTGCAGACGCTCGTATTTATGTTAGTTTAAATTTCTACAATGAAATACATTAACTGTCAGATACACTGCCGGTGTGGAACACTTTATCTGATTAATTGACTTGTTTCATACATGATACTCTGATAAATGTTAAATGTCAGTCACGCTTAAAGATGGCAATTGCCTGTAATTTGACCCGTGAGAATATAAACATTTAGAGTAATGGTCAGTTCCTTAGTTCCACATGCTTGATTAATTGTTAGCATTTTCTCTCCATAGTAAAGTATATTATTCGTCTAAAGAAAAGGAGGAATGTAGTATGCTGCTGTCAGTTATGATAAGCCCCGCCTCCTATGTATAATGCATGCATGCTCTGCCTCTCTGATACTTGTAGTTAGTTCTTATAATACACTTGTACAGTAAACATTAAAAGCTAGAAACTATCCTTCGGGTCTGTGTTATCAAACAATCCCTTTAAGGGTCTGGTTCTATTTAGAACATTTAGAACATTACAGCAACTTTAGTAAAGGATTGGCCAATGATCATTTCTACACAGTTTAATCAAAATCTATGGACGGTTTAGGACAAAATGATTTAAAAAAAAATTCTATTTTTTGCTCTGAAGGCCATCTTTTTCAGCAGACCGGATCGAACCATTTGAGCAATTTATTCTAGATGACTATCCAAGGATCATCCCATTTTAGTTTCATAAAAATAAACTCAAAAGTTAAGTTATGTTAAAGTTATTATTTAAAAAGTGTTTAGATTTTTAGCTCTGGTGGCCATCTTGTTCAGCAGATCAGAACCATTTATGGAAAAAAAATCTAAGGAGCATTCCTGTAATGTTTCAATTTACCACATAACTAAGGAATAGATCTCATTTAAATGTTTTTCTATTTTTAGCATTGGCAGCCATCTTGTTCAACAGACCGGAACCATTTGAGCTATTTCTAATAATCATTCTGTAAAGTTTCATCAAATTCTACAAAATAATTAAGGAAGAGATGCCGTTTAAATGTTTTTTCTATTTTCAGTTCGATGGCCATCTAGATCCATTTGAACGTTTTCTAGAGGGAGGGGACTATCCAAGGATCATACCTGTTTGGTTTCATCACTACTAGTGAGCGGGTAAGAAGGAAATTTCGTATAAGTAAAAATGATAATAACGGATGATGGACGACAAGTGGTCTAAAATCCATTTATCTCTTTATTCTGCCAACCCATCTGGCAAGTTTCATAAGCAGGAATAGTGCATGCTTAAAAAACATTATCAGGAAAATTTAAACCGAAAACTAGAAAACTTCAAGGCTTGTGGGCTTGAGGAAGAGATTGTAGTGATGTAGACCACAGTGCCATTTGCAAAGAAGCGAATTTCAAGCTTGGAGACAGAAGAGGTAAGTTTATTAATATAAATAAGAAAGCAAGGTCAATGGCAAAGTCTTTGTGGACACCAGAATTTACAGGGAGTTCCTTACAGTATTCATCATCCAACAAAACAGTTTACTCCGGCCAAATAAGCATGAAAATGTGAAACTGAACATTTGTGTTGAGAGACCATTTTCTTCAAGGGTAATCGACGCTGACCTACTTCTGCTAATGTCAAGGCGAAATAGATCTGTCTGTTGCCTGCTTAGATTACATATGTAGCTGGTCTGTGCTGTCCCCTTTTATATTCTTGTAAACAGCGCATTGGTCCAGTCAGAGGAAAACCAGAAGTAAGTGATTTTTGGAAAGGATTGTGACAATGTCTGTGATTTTCATGTCTCAGTTCTTTAGGATCTACTGTCAGTCTTTGCAGGTGTTTCAGTACCCCATTCTTGTAGACAGATATATCGTCCATTTGGAAATATCAACAATATTATTTATTTTATTTCTTTATCTTCATTTATTTATTTATTTTATTTATTTTTTATTTTTATTTTTTTATGGGGGGAGGGGGTGTCAAGATAATAGAGTTTATATGAGGCAAGTTTGCTTTAGAGACAGTGGGGAGGTACTGCAAAACACTGAATGGGCATGCCTGTTCAGTAAATTGGCCTTTAATTGTTTGATTTAAGATAGTCTGTTTATTTTATCTTTAAGGATTGTACACTTTAGGAGTCTTGTTTAAAATATTTTAAGTGGGAGTACACATTTTTTGTAGAAAATTTGTCATCGGATCATTGTCATCAAGTTTTAACATGTTTTTACACATTTTAATTTCATTTTTTTTTTATTTTTGCCTCAGTTCAATATTTGATTTGTATTACATATTTTTGTTGTAGATGGTCTCTTTTCGTCAAAAAGTTTTAACTTTTTATTCAAGATTTCATATGATAATTTCCGCGGTTTCTGCGGGATTTCCGTTGAACTCTGTTGTACTTTCCGGTCAAAGGATCTTTTTGTTCTTTACATACGTACGTACTGCGTAAAACGTCATCAATTGATGTGTATTTACACGGGTACCTAGGCAAATAATTTGGAGCTGGACTCCAGGAGAAAATCGTTTTATTAGGCTTAAAATTGATCTAAAATATGGTGATTATTTTGTTTATGCAAACAGCCTTCTTGGTGTAGTAAATAAGTGTTTAACACAATGATTTAAGCTGGCATTTTAACAATGGATTCCGTTTCATGACACATACTGAACTTTCGCACTCTTATCGTTTCGTAACTAACTTAGATGACTTAATTAGGTTAAGCGGGTCCTACTTAAAACAACAGTGGAGGCATTAATGATCCTTAATCTGGAATTACTCAGACTTGATTTCTTGATTAGGTTGATTAGGAAATAATATGAAATTAGGCAAAGCCTATGAACGGGGAAGTCGTTAAAAAGTCCTTTTATTTTTTTCCGTTTTAAAGGTGTCATTCGGTATTTTATACACCACTTCCGTTTTCACTCGGAACACTCGACGTTTATTATTTATCCGAAAAGTTGAGATTTGTACCCTTATCGGAATACACCGTCTTTTATCATTGAGTTACATTGTAAATGGCGGCGCCTAACTAGAACTGACACTGAAAATTTTATTGATAGGTATAGAATTCTATATTTTTTTAATTGTTTTTTTATTTGATTTTCTTTTGAATATACATGTGTAGTCTATAGCCGGGCAAGCCAAAGCCCGGAGCCGCTTTGCGGCCCCGGGCTTTGACTTCCCCGTATAACAATTCACCCCATAACAACTCACCCTACTTATTGTCTTTTTTAAGCGTTTGCACCATTTTAGTGACAATTTGCCCTTAGTGCTTACTTAGCGTATATTATTTTAGCGCTTACTTAGCATATATTATTTATCCTGAAGGGAGGAGTCACTTTTCCATAAATTTTCAGTCCAGAGTAGTCACTAACAAAGTTCTATGCTCCTGCGTTTATGAATAAATTATGCAAATGAGCCGCCATGTTGGAGTTACGGTAAGCGTGTTGGAAATTGCTACCTGTTCATTTTGAAAGCTCGTCCTAACTAAAAGTTTCCTTGAATGTAGGAAAACTTGGTTTTGTTTGATTGCATATTGAATGATAGGTATTACAAAATAAATATAATGAAAATCGATCAATAAATAATTGTATACGAGCGTTATAAAGTCAATTTAATTCATCAGAATAATAAGGTTCTGTTGCAAGGTATCGGTAAAAGACTGATTTTTTTCCCGTTTTTGAACACGGAGACAATTTTTCTCAAACAGGTTTATGAATATACTTTATGTTGTAACAGAGTTTACCGTGTGTCCATTCCTTATTGGGTTTGCCTAAAATACAAAAGTGAGATTTTTGACGAAAGTGAGCGAAAGTGACTTTTAGAATTTGAATTGTACTGTTTTAATAGAATTTTACAGTAAAATTGCTGTTTGCATACGTATATTATTAGCAACTTATTATATGTATTATAATAAATAACCATAATCATGATTTAATCGCCATTTATTGGCATAAATTCTATATACAAGTTCAGCACTCTTCCTTTCACTTGCATATAAAAATACGAAAGTGACTTGTAAAGTATTAAATATAGAGTTTAAATTGAAAATGTACTATATCTGCAGTTTGTAAACGTGTATTATAAGAAATTACTATTATTTATTTTCTAAATTAATCATTATGATGATTTAAAGTTTTATACCCCATTTTTTTTGCATAATTTCTATAAATACACATCAGCGATCTTCCTTTCACTTAAACTGAAACATACGAAAGTGACTTGTAAAATATCAAATATAGAGTTTGAATTGAAAAATGTACTTAAATTGCAGTTTGTAAACATATAACATCAGAAATAAATAATTTGATATTCAACACTATATTTTAGAAGTCACTTTCGTATTTTCTATGTGAGCGAAAGGAAGATTCCTGAACTTGTATATAGAAATTATGTCAAATAAATGGTGA